GTACATAAGACAACCACTGGTAGAATTTCACCGAAAAACATTAAGTACTACGGTAAATATAATGGGTTTAGTGGGTAGGAAAGTAACACCGAAAGGACAATACAGAACTGTAAAGGTTTGAAATATATGTGCACATAAATTATGACCCAGTCACTCCCAGTACTTTAGAGTAGATTTTAGTGCTTCTTTAGAGTTGGTTTAAAGTTAATTGTACTACGCAACAGAAAATGGCTGCCCTGAATGCTGCTCTTGAAAATGCAAGGTGCAACCTAGTATTACTTCTCGGGTTCTCCTTTTACATTATCTTTTGTATAAAGTAGCTCAATCTTTTTCATGCCTAGCTACCACATAGTGTTAGTGGTAAGTACCAAGGACAGACATGCTAGCTGTCCCATAGTGTTAGTGTTCAGTACCAAGGACAGGAATGCTTGCTATCCCATGGTGTTAGTGTTCAGTACCAAGGACAGGAATGCTAGCTATCCCATTGTGTCAAAGTTCAGTACCAAGGACAGGAATGTTAGCTATACCATAGTGTTAGTGTTCAGTACTAAGGACAGGAATGCTAGCTATCCCATAGTGTTAACATTCAGTACCAAGGACAGGAATGCTAGCTATCCCATAGTGTTAACATTCAGTACCAAGGACAGGAATGCTAGCTATCCCATAGTGTTAACATTCAGTACCAAGGACATATACTGTACATAGGGCTTTTCTTTTGCATTACTCCAGCAATCTTCTTTGAAATCCCTAAGTTTCTACTAAAACAGATACCTCTACACTTGAAGTTTTTTAGACCATAACAACAAGTGAGACATAACAGTCTAATAACAGTTCCATATGCCCCTTCCCTGTTGAGATCTGTTCTATTGACCTCTGACCTTCCTGTAACTGTTATCTTCCCCCACTTGGTGCTGTGCTTTACCCTGAGTGACCTTGTGTATTGATCTTAGACCCTTGGACATGGTGCATTGTTGATTGCCTCTTCATTGTTAAGGGGGCACAAAACAGTTTATTTTGGGTCTCAATTTGTGGCTGCACACCCTCAAGTACCACTATGTTTTCCTTCAGTTCACATTGTCAAACCGTTCAAATTCCTATTTCAAAGTCCTTCTACAGCAAGAGTTTCTTTCCCCAGACTGCAAAATTATAGAACCCCCTCCCAAACACAGGCTTCCATCTTGAATACAATCCTCAAGGTTTCAAATGAAACATCCATTGCCATGACTGTCTCTTTTGGGAAATAATTCTGAAGCATAAAAAACTGTACTGCACTTCAATGAAGGTGTAACATCCAGGTAATAAGTATCCAGTTGCTTGAGTAGCTGTTGCTTTGGCCCCCCCAAAAAAACTACATACAGGAATGAAGGATATCCCTTTGGTTATAAGAACAATTAACGTTAAAGCTTCTTCAACCTGTCAAATTTAATTTTAGGGAAAACAGTTTTTGTCATAAATGACTGGTTGAAATTACGCAGTTTCACATAGGATTAAACTAATGACCTATAGTTTAGACACAAAAATGGCTGCTATTTTCTTCAAGGGAAAAAAGCTAACTTAGGTATAACATAAATACATGACATTGTATTAAATTCATAGCCATGGTGTTAAGTTGGCTCTTGCTAGATTGCACACGAATGACATTGACATATAATAATTTAAGCATTCAAAATCAAATATTTGATCTTCATAAAGTCACACAAACAATTATGTCTGAATCTCTGCTGACATTTTGCTCTATTCATGTCTAACTCATAGTCATACATAGAGTGAGCTTTAAATGTCACAAATCAAAGACCTATACTTACAGTACATAATCCAGCTAAAGGGATTAACCTGTTAATCCTGACTAGGATCAAGTAAGATCAGGAATGAAAATCCAATAACACCAGTGACTCACTGACACAGGACTGAAGATTAAAAAAAGATGTCATTTCTGTCTTCTCTTTTGAAATACTCTTTCAACTAGCAAATTTTCTTGAAAATAATTTTGATGATAAAATTAGGCCAATGACATCTAAAAAACCTTAAGATGATTTTTGGGTCTTTTCCTCTTTAGGAAGTCAAGAATCCAAGAAGCCATTCAGTCAGATAACTTTACTTCCAACCCACCCCTTGAAATCCACTAAGAGAAAATCTCCTCAACTCCTTGACCAACCGACAGCCTTTTTTCCAACACAATTATTTTTCCTCTAATCCTATTGGACAGTAGGTAGATAGGGCTGTCCTAACAGATCCCTCACTCAGTAGCACCCTGTCAGCTTGCTTTGTAACCTCTTACCCAATCATGTGTCCTCAACATAATTGAATCAACAAAAACTGGAAACTACAAGTTATTATAGAAAGGTAGATTTAGATTTTACAAAATGTTTGACACTGACAGAAAAGAGAGGATAAAATTAAGATTTTGATTGCTCTGGTGATGTAGCTTTCTGTTTAGATGAGGTTTAGAGCTGTTAGTTTTAGTAAGTCCGTCGGCAATCTTCATTAGGAGATCTCTGGGCCTTGTTCTGGAGACAAATTGTTGGCGGCGAGCGACCATCTGTCATTGTCAGGTGCTGATAGATGTAGACATGAGGCTGCACATGGCAGTGGGACTGGGGTTGGCTGGGGGCCCTCAGGGGGATTCCAAGACACCTCACAACTCAAACACATAGATACTGTAATTCCTACTTTTTTGTGTGATACTTTTATGTTCACGGTTTTTGCGGTCACTTCTGTACTGCAAACTTATCATTATCGTTAACAAATTAATTGCCGACTTTCTTTCTTCTGCACCTGCCTCCATCGTGAACATAATTCTGTTCTTACACTTTCATAATCATGCATGACTTCCTCGGCAAGCAGACTAGTATATTCTGGCACAGAAGCTAATGCTACATGTATGATAAATTTCAAAACTGCTTGATGTACAATGTAAGACATGCTATCTCTGTCTGTTTCTATAGCCCGCACAGATCAATACAGTCGGGGACTAGTCCACTGGTAGTGTTGTGTGTTACGTTAGGAATACCTTTACTTGAGTGCCGAGTGCTACGCAAAGAATGCATCATGTACCATTTTTCAAGTTTTCAACATAAGGTCATAACGTTTTTCAAGTCTTCGGTGGGCTTTGAACCCTGACCTTCCAAATGCGAGGTGAACACTCTACCCCCCCCCCCCCAGGCCACTGCACCAGTATAAAAGTCCCTACAAAAAAAGTTTTTACGACAAGGAACACGCGCGTTACCACCGCACATTATCGCTTATCAGTAAGGTCATCGTCCTCATTTTCACGCTGATGTTGTTTACAGCCGTTACGCCGCATGAGCGCCGCAAACCCGTAAATTGAACCGTAAAATATTTCAAAAACCTCTGACATAAGTCCTCATAAACACCATGATTTACTTCTTGGTTTTTAATCACAAACCCTTATAGCGATATGGTGCAAGAAAAAACCTTTTCAAGATACCCCCTGGAGGAATGAAGTATATTTGACAAGATTCATATGATATGGCAAAGATTTTTCATCGTTCTAGCTAATATACAGCGTTTTACGATGTGATAAATTCTAAAGGATTTCTGATTCTAACGTTTAAACAAGGCCCCCCCTCCCAACACACATAGATCATAAAAGGTCCAGCGCAGTAAATAACATCTACCTTTGACTTCATAAAATATGTGCTGTGAAAGCAATAATACCTCAGAAGTTTACGTAGGTTCTGTAATAGCCTGATGTATGAAAGATGTTCACAAATGTAGGTCACATGTGGGCGGTATACGAATGCCGTGCTATGTTCGGTGTAATTTCCTCATAACAAGATATTGGAGAGAGCTTCCAAGAAAGAAGTGATTCGATTATTACAGCCTAATTGTCTTACACATAATTTAGCATTTATTAGAAGTAGAATAATTTTGTCTAAATCAAGTTACCAATTATTTGATGAACAAGAATCCAACAATAGGATAGGTACAAATGTAGGAGGCAAGAATGAGAAATTTTCGTCTATGGACTCAAAGTATTGACATTTGTCATTACATGTTGAATGTTCCCTTAGCGTCAAGGCAGTTTGCTTTACCAATATTTGAGCAAGTAAAAATAGACATGCCACTATTTGTGATTTTACCTTGAAGCACCCCTCCAGAAACCATATACATATATTATCTACAGGCTAGAATCTCAAGTTTGTGAACTGATATACAAATGTATGGAAAAGAAACCTTTATCTCAAACATACATCTTCTATTTTGAACCATGTCTAACCTCAAGCAATCACTCCAGGGCCTAATGCATAAGAAAGTATCTGCAGTTTAGCAGTTACACCTATCTACATCCTTCAAAACTGCAACAACCCTTTCAATTTCAATGCCTTTGATTTTAATAGTGTCAGTTGCACTGCACAAATAACAACCAATAAGAAGGTTGTGTGTGTATAACTGTTTCTATACCCATTGGTAACTGGTACCTTATTTAGAAGCAACCAATGGTCAGCATCCATTGGACAACCATGTCACCCTGACCAAAAACATGCAAGGACCTTACATGTACATTGTGATCTATAACAGTATAATCCGATATACGGTTCAAACTGTACATTCACAAGGTCAAAAATAAACATGTAAACAGTAGTTACTGTCTGGACCATGCTTCATTCATGTTCAGACATGTTTTGTTTATATCTCGGGGGCATTCACCTTTGACATATTACCCACAATCCTCCATCCAGCTCAGGAGCAGTCTATACTGTGAACTGGCTTATTGTGATGAAAGCTGTACTTTCAACACCTACATTTTCCAACCCCTAGCATCTGCTGTGTTAGAGGACGGTTTATGCTTTGTTAGTTTATGATATGTTTGTTCGTGATATGTTTGACATAATGGTTATGCCTTTGCTTTAATGAAACTCATGGAAACAGCTCCCATGCAATTCAGCCTCTGGCTGCCAGGTGGGACTGGCCGTAGATAAATAATGTATTGTATATATCTTAATGATTGAATAAACCATTATTATAATAAGACGTACCTCTCTTTGCATGCAGAGTTCTTTGGTGAAGAGCAGGGCTTCTTCTCCGAACGGCTCTCCCTCTGTGGGTCCGCTGGGCAGGCTGCGGGGGACCCTGGGGCACGAGATACCTGCGGGGAGGGGGGAACATTTTAGGTCAGGCAATATTATTAACATTTCTACTAAGATCACAAACCCACTCATTATGTAGAATGTATTCATTATCCACTGCCTTCAAAGAAGAAGTCAAACCCTATAGCAAGCGTAGTAGTATTAGTTTTTCCAGACAGTAGTTGTCTGTCTCCTATTATTGTATTGTATCTTTGACTGTGAAAGCAATTAGCTCACCATTGTATGTTTACTCAACAGAAGGAAAACATGTTTTTCATCTGTTTCTTTTCCTATTCCAAACACATAAGGTCAATGACCAGGACCAGATGGCTATCACCATGGTTACTGATGTTGTAGCAGACACCCTGTGCTGTTGGATTACATTACATGTATGTAGCCGAAAAGAGCAAAGGGGTGGGTCACCAAATACTAGTATACAAGCGTGTTTCAGTGAGAATAAACAGAGCAGTAGTTTCTAAGGCTAGACCATGTGAAAGTTGACATGATGCATTTGCTTTGCAAATGTTACCTTAACTTAGCCATATTCTGGACATTTGTTTTAACATTCAGTTTTCGTAATTCCATGCATGACTACAGAACTGCGTACCGGCCAGCAGGAATGTGATAAGGCAGGTCTCCTTGGGCAGGTACAGGCGGACACGTGACCCGCTCGCCGTGAACTCAACGATGGCATCCGAGCGCCCGGCACGCTGGAGGAACGGCAGGAACTGCCTGGCCTTGTTGGTGTCCTGTGGGGAATATGACACATTAAAGCACTGCGCATGTGCGCCACCTAGCAATATTCATTGGAACTACAGGGCTCGAATTTCATTTTGGGGAAAGGGTGCATTTGTGGTTTTGGGTGCAAAATGTCAGAAAAAAACTGGGTGCACAAAAAATTTCTTGGGTGCATCATATACGATAAAATAAGTAAAATATAAGCAAAAACTAATTTTGTTTCATTTCTAAAGAAAAGTACTGTAAAAATAATTTTATTATTTTTCTTTCTGACACTCAGATGTTAGGAATAGACTGTATACTACTATACTACTTCACATACAATGTAGTCTTACATAAAGTCATTCATTCATTCATTCATTCAAAGCTACAAAAATATTTGGGTGTACTGATGCATCCACAGAAAAAAGTGGGTGCACAGCTCCAAATTTGTGGTGCACATGCACCAAGTATTTTAAGCCCTGAACTACTATCCTTACAATGTGCAAGTAACAATTGTGACACGACACCATACGTAACCATACCAGTTATAACTGCTAATAGAAAGTCTGTTTCGTGGCTGATGCTCTGTTCAAAATTGGATCTCTCAAAAACACCTGTTATTCCTTAACAAACTGCAAGAGGGCGCTTACCCCAGACAGGTCTGCTACTCGGTGGATGGGGACCTCCTTCTTGCTATGAAGACCCTTTGCGTTCTTCTGAGCCCTGAGAAACATAACAAAAAAATGCACACATGAACAATGCAGCACTGGGAAAGGATCTACCATGGAGGAAGTGGCAGCATTCAAAGCCTTTCTTTTCTTTTACTAAAAGGTATGCTCAGAATGATTTGCCTCTCAAGATGTGGGAACTTGAATGTGTTTTTGAAGACTTAAGGGCTTTAGCATATAGCAGATGTTGTTGGTTAAGGGATAGGTGAGGTGGTGAGCGATGTTGTTGTCCATTACGTGTACATGTACGTACCTTGCTTCCGCTGCCAGGAGTTCGTCGTAATGTGCAGATCTCTGGTCGTCGTCTGCCCTGTAGCGCACTACAGTCACAAAGCCTTTACTCACCAGGGCTTCCGCTACGTTTCTGTACACAACACACAAATATACAATCACAAAAATGAAGAAATTGAATCCATTGAAAAAAATGGCAGGAGAAGAAGAGACATTTGAAGAACGGTTTGCACAAATACTTCTATCAGTAGCACACCAGCACTTGTTCGACAGGATTGTTTGTCTGTTTTTTAAATAATTGTGTATTGTAACTATGTTATAGATTTAGATGTTGTTTTGTGACTCTGTCAACTATGTATGTATATATGTATTTATGTATGAATGAATGCCAGAAAGACTAGCGGTGGACCCTGGGGTTATTCAAATTAAGTTTCAAAGTTTCAACTACTGAACATTGGAGGATGTATTCAGTTACTTACATGCCACCGATGGTGACTGTGGCACATGTTCTCTCAGGGTAGCCGTCACTGCCAGGCCTGATGTAGTCCACACTCACATTCACCTGTACAACCAGTACATACAGACATACAGCTTACTGAAAATCTTTAAACATTCACGGTGCTTTCATTTTCACAGTGGAAAGGTCCCCATGTATATGAATGTCCAACATTCTCTACTACAGAATTGTTTTGAGCAGTAACTTCAAACACAATGAAAAACTCTTTTCCCCTTCTACTGTGAAATTAAGTCTCGGCAAAAATTAACAGATTTACAGTATTTAGCATCATTCAAACTGCAATGCCTATCATTACACTCTTGTAGCACACTCTTGTTTGTTCTGGCATATAAAAATGATTATTGTGTTCAAAGATTTGCTCATTTTTTGCTGGGTAAACCTGTAGTTGCTAAGCTGGAAGAAGAGAAAATGGAGCAACCCTTACCTTCTTGCCAATGAGTTTCTTTCTGAGAAACTCGCGAGCCTCGAACATGTAGGGGACGTCATACAGAGGACGGATACGCTTTGTGTTGTCCTGTGTGGAGGAACATAATATTATATTGTGAATATTGTATAATTTGTCAATGAGTTAAAGATTGATAATAACGTTTTACCTTAAAGTAGCTACAGACAGTTAATCAATAAACTGTTTGTCCCACATGAAACCAGGATGTCAAAGGAATATTGCTTACAATAGTTATGAAATTATATTCAGCTGAATGTGGATAAGTGTCTGATAAGTATACAAACAAGGTACCTGCTCCCAGTCCTAAACATGGCAGCATGGAAGGTAATAAATCAACAAGAGTCATGTCGCAAGTATATATTATAATATGTACTGGGATTACTTTGATCAATCATCAAAACAGAAGGGAAACTGGAATTTTCATCCTATTACATGTGCTTATTTACTTGAAAACTCAGTCTAGGTATTTCAGCAAGAGTGTTTTTAGGGAAGAAGAAAAAAGATCTGATCTGGAAGTAAAAATAGGAGACTCAGTGCCTTGTGAGTTCATAAATAACTGTGTAACAGGAAAAAAAGTTAACTCACCTTAGCACCAGCGTCATCTGTCATCCTGTAAACATAATTATAAATCACAAATGTAAACAAGAAATCTAAGATTTCACATATTTATGAAGTATTTAGAGTATAATGTTTCTTATTCGTTTTGTGAATTTCTCACTGATTCTGTGGGACCAATTTCCCATTGGCTCCCGGAAGGCAACAGACATGCATGTACAAAATTGAACATAGGTCAGGAAATGAGATAACCTTATTTTCTAGGACCTTTGAAATAAGTTCCTATCAGTGCCCACAATGTACCTTGCAAGTGAAAATGACTATAATGTACATAAACATAAACACAAACAAATACACAAACAAACAGGGTTTTTTTCAACCAAACCAACAAACAAACAAACCCTCCCTTTTGTCTGTAGCAGCCAATTCCACTTAGGCCTAACCAACCACCTTTCTGAGTCCCTTGATTGGTTGTTGAGACCAGGTTTGACTGTGTAGCCAAAACAGTACAGTCTTACAAGGCTGGTTGACAAGGCAGCGACACAAAATGTGACTCACCTGGGAGGTCGAATACTGGACAGGGTGACCTCCTTGATCTGGTTTTCAGCCGTTTTGATCACCAGACGATCCGCATTATTGATCTCAATCACCTGCAACATGACACAGGTTGTGCTACTAGCATGCAATTTTCAAATTCTATGAAAGCTCTATCCTTCTATTATATAAAAATTCGACAGGAATGTATTAAATACTTGACCTTCAGTAGTCAAGACAGGAAACAAGATAGCCCTTTCTGGGACCTTTGGCCTAATTTCCAGTCAACATCCCAGACATGCCTAGCATGTGGAAATAACTACCATAACGGAAACACAAGCACAGAAAATTAAGGTTAACACCAATACACAAGGTCTTCCAGCTATCGTGTTATTGCTTCCATCTTGTTTCAGTATTTCTCGTTCTGGTAATGAGGTATATTGGTAACGAGCTCTGACCTTGCCAGTGAACTGTTTCTCAGTGATGGCGATGGAGGTCTGGGAGGGAGTGTAGTCCTTCCAGATACGCAGTCGCTTCTCTTTGGCAGCTCTAAAACACAAAAACAACAATAAATACAACAGTAAGGTGGTTTTGTGGCAAAGATTGTTAAGTCAGCCTTAGAATTGAAACGTTCTGTGTTCAACTCCCTGGTAAGCCACAAGGTAGGGAAAGGCACATACATGTATAATGTACACACATTTCTTCACTTAACTCTATGAAAATGAGTACAGAGATTCAGTTAAGGATATGTTCTTGGAACAGAAAGCCATGTTTGAGGGGAACCACACTTATTGATAAGACTGGAGGTCCATCCTAGTGTGAGTCAATCAATCCTATAAAGCTTGCAGTTACTGTGCAAAGCTCTTGTGTCATGCCTAAGATGGTTTACTGGTTGTACAAAAAAAAAGAAAATCATTAAGCTTTCTTATGGCTTAAAACCAATCAACCAATTAAACCATAATATAGACCTACAGTAGCAACTGTTACATATGATATCCGACTACATGTAGACATGTGGAAATGTATGTGGAGTACAGAAAGTCTCACTTCTCGGCGGAGCGCAGTTTGTCGGCCCCTGTAGTGACCACACCCATGCTCCAGTCCACACAGCGAGCGAAGCCCTCCTGCAGCAGGAACTCTGTGATGTTCCCATTCTGAACAAGAGAACAATAAAGAAATACTATCATGAAAGTTCATCTGTGTTGGTAGTTACATGTTTAGAGTTTAAACTTTAGACCCAATACTGGTGACCAAAACTGGTGACCAGTCAGTCACCACTCAAAGAAGCCATGTGACAAGCTTCACTGGGTCAGTCTACTGAGGAAGACCAGAGTGACTGGTCCAAAGCTCTAGGTGAGAGATTTTTTGTATTGAATCTTAAGTTTTCCCCACACCCAGGTGCTGTCAACCTACTCTGTCTGGACAAACATACACACAAAGTCACAGACAACCCACACAAACAAAACTTCAGTACAAGATATAACAAACTTAATCAAAGTTCGTACCGGATGGAGCACAGTTCCCAGGATGTTCTGGTTGGACACCCCCTCCATGATGATCTCTACATCACGCTGGAGCAGACGAGACTCCACAAAGAACTTGGCCTGGTCCGCAAACGGTTCTGCAACCTCTTTGTCTCCCTCACGCTTGAACATGGGGCACTGGGGGAAGAAAGAAGTTTCACTTCAGTCCAGTAGAAGAACATAGTAAAAAATCCTGAACCTAGCATATCCAAAACACGAGATATCAAAACTAGAAGTTTTGGTGTAGTACCACAGAAAGACGACAGGGGGTCAAATTATTTCTTTGATAGGTCTAACAACATGTCAATCTATCCCATAGCCCCAAATTTTTTTTTGCACGTTTGTATCAGTTTTGGGGTGTAAAAAAAAAGGGTCCTGTTCCACTCTGTGCAGAGCATAGGGGTGGTGCCCATCTCCATTTCTGTAGCCCTTGGGCCACACGGTTGTGCAAGCACTACAGCAGGGGGATAGTCCGCAGGTACTGTTGTGTTGACCTTCCCATACTCTTTCTCATAGATGCTGAGTGCTAAGCAGAGAAAGCAGTATATACCATTGTTTTTGGGTGTCCAAATGATATAATCTAATCAGTATAGCCTTACCTTATTCCCAGACATACATGTCCTGATCTTACCTTGATCCCAGACAGCATGACAGTGATGTACTGGAATGAGGGCAGGAGGAAGGCTCGAAGGGTACAGCCATCTCGCACGTGTTCAACAATCGCTGAAAAACAGACAAAAATACTGTAAATGCAGAAACATTCATGGCAGTATTATTTTTGGCAAATTCATGACACTGTGAATTGTATTACTAGTATTACTGTACAACGGAATTATTCAAACACAAGTTTATAACACAAAAAAAAATCCTTTTAACCCTTGTCCTCGAGTAATTACTGCATATTTACTTTTAACCTGTAGCACATGAAATTAGCCATTTGGCTGCCAGTTCTCTATTACTATTAGTTATGGGGTGAGGCAGCAGGGAGAAAGTAAATCATCCAAGAACCAGGAATTCAGTTAAAGAAGGATTGTTTTTAGGACATACCTTTGACAGGCTTGTTGTGATGAGCGTCAACAAAGTTGCGAGGGTTCTCCAGCGTCCAGGCTACATCACGTACGTGAGACTGAGCGTCTGCTGCCCACTTCCCCTTACTGTTGGACTTGGCAGTGTCCTCAAGGTCACACAGTTTGGCCTGGTCACTGGTGGAAAACAGGTCTCTTTTAACGATGGTGTTAAACCCAAAATGGTACATGTGGCTACTAACAGTACTAGGCAGGTAAAATTTGCAAGCAAATGCAGAGTATTTCAATTCCCAAAGAGGAGACAACATAGATCTTCCTCTTGAGGCTGCAGCAGTGAAGTATTAAGTATGGATACTGTATATTAAAGCAACATTTGCAAGCAAATGTGAGATATCTCTTTACCTTGAGGAGAAAACAATATTTCCTTTGGCTATTTAAGTAAAATATAACTATAAGGGTACAAATGGCAACTAAACAGCAAGCCAATGCAACATATTTGCCTCTCATTGCCGATGAGGATAAACATTAATTATCCCTCCAGTTCGACCAACTGAAGCAACATTAGGCAATACAACTCTGAAGCAAGTATCAGGTTTCATTGGACATTGAAATCAAAAAAGAAATTTTGAAGCCTAAAAAAAAACAAGGACCCTGTATACTGAATGTTATAAAATGTTTCTTACTCGCTTGGTTTGATTCCTCCCCTGCGCACCTCTACCAGACCTTCATTCACCAGAGCCTCCGTCACGTTCTTACCGCTCTGGGGGTCTGGAAAATGACAAACAACAAATCAGACATTTCAGACTTCTCGGAGTATGCAGTCCTCTGCTTCCTGAATTCCCCCAGGTCAACTTCTGGCTCAGATTCTGAGACCTTTGACCAGCTGTTATTCTGCCTGTCAATCTTCCCGCACCCACATGTTGTCAACCTTATCTGTCTGGACAAACCCACAGCTCAGCCATCTAAAACAATATACCAAGTATGAACAAAGAAGTATTAAAAAATATCTGTACTTTGCATTCTTTATAATGAATGAAAAGAGATTTGCTTTTGAGGCTCCTACAAAAACCATAGATGATTCGGCAAAATGACGTCCAACCCTCGAGCTACGCGGAATGCGAGACGATAAACGGATAGCGAGTGTGAGTGAGTGAGTGACAGTCTAGAACTAGAAGACAGCATGTAGGCCCAGCATGCTGCAATGTATCTTGGTGTGTGAATGTGTACAGTACACTTGCGTTACCTTTCCCGACGTACAGACATCCGTACTCGCGGCCGGTTCCGGGGACCTTGTACTCCACGGTGAAGCAAACCTCCTTCCCCACCACCATCTTACGCAGGAACTCACGCGCCTCCCATGCAAACGGCTGAAACAACACGTACATGTTGTATTGACAATGAATCATAACAACCATCCAACAATTAGAATGAATCTTAATAATACCTGTAATCTAAATATCATATTTTCCTAACAAAACACAATAAAACAAGAAATCAGAAGTTTGAAACCTCCAGGAAGTTTTGGGGAATCTGTTGGCAAAACCGCATAAAACAGATGGTCTGAGATACTTTCAATAAGCCTTCAACAGTACAATGTAGGACAGAAACCTTGTATTCAACAAGCCCTACATGTAAGTAGGAGACTTGTGTGAGTGCAAAAGCTTGCCTGCCTAGAAATCCGAGACAGAAATCTGCAGAAGTGGTTTTGTTCTTGGAGACATCTAGTTGCAAGCCATACATGATATTCATTGTCCTTTAATATATCATACTTGCAAATATCAAGTCATTTGGTTATTATGTATTTCGAAATATTGAAGACTTTCTAGAATCAAAGAGTTATACTGGTGCCTACTTAACATAAATTATGTATCAATAGTTACAATAGTAACAGAAGACACACCTCATCCTTGGTCTCAACAGAGGCCTCCACGTTGGGGTTGGCTCGCCGCGCCATCTTGGGCGCCACGATATTGGACAGGTTCAGCTGTTTCTCCGGGGGAGGGCCGCCCTTGGGCTGTCCACGGATGATGACAGCATCACCGGACAGCACCTACATGGACAGCAAGAATGTACAGCACTGGAGATCTGAGGACTTCACTCTTAGGTACAGTTTTAGATCACATCACAGGGTTTTTATCAAAATCAAACTTAAAAATACATGTTACGAGAAATAGATGGCTGCTGACTTAGGCACTAGAAGCATCTGAATCCTAGGATATATAGTTATCTTGGCTTGGCTTCGTGTCCGAAGATTTCAGGGGCCCTTCCCTCTCCTGCTGCACGCCCGCACACGCATCCCCAAGCCTAGAGATACAGCCTGATAATACAGACCACTAGACCACAGAAAATACTGTAGAAGGTATAATGACATTCTGCAGAGACATACATTTTGTATATGTTTTACTGTCAAACCGACCCACTAGTATATAGCTAGGAGAATATTGGATGTTCTCACCACAGAGATTTAAATAAACATAAATTGTGGTAGAAGATTTACAAATAGTGGGGACAGCAATGTAGCCTTTTGGCACCAAATTTATATTTAGGTTACAGGGTAAGGCTGCTGGGTGAATATCTATTCATACCATGCAATTAAAGTAAATGAATTAGACATTTTTTTAAATTTTTGTCATAATATCACTGCAGCAATTCTTGCGAATATTCCCTTAAGACATGATAAAATCATATATATATATATATACTATATCATATGTCAACTCTTTGGGCTACGTACATAATTGTTTCCCTATGGCTGAACTAGTGCCGTAATTCGACACCACAGATACATGTGGCCCTTTAATTTGCATACAAGAGGGAACTTGTTGACTAGTGTGAAGTAAATGAGAACACACGTACATGCACAACAAAACAATTACAAATTTACGATAAGAAAAGAAGCTTTCTTCACAACATTTTTTTAATCCCTCTATAATTTTCAACTGCACTACAAAATATACTAGACTTTAACACTTACGATCACACACCCCTCAACTTCTTATTTAGCTCATAAATAATTTGAGGGGGGAACTGGAAATATAGGGGGTAGGGGCGTGGGGAGGGGGTCGAGGATAGTGTAGCATGGGGGGGGGGTTGTGAGAAAAAAAGTGAGGACTCTGGAAGATATACACTTTTAAACGTTTGCCGGTTAAAAAGTTGCGCAAACGGTCGACGTAAAAAAAATTGCACCGCCCCCCTCCCCACCTACCATACTTCCCAGTGGATCCTACGCTAAAAATATAGCCTTACTGTACGCTCCTACACTTTCTACACCTAGACAATACTCCATAAACCTCATATCATAACTTTCTTCTCCATTTCTTAGTGGTTTGGGGATACCATATTGCAATTTGACGAAATTCGTGGCACTGGCTAAAACTCTGTCGTCAAGTTTCTTAGAACGCTACCGGCGATTCTAAACTGTGAAAAACTAGAAAATCAAACTCTACGAATCTCCCGCGTCGATGGGGAGGTTGAAGAGAGGAGAGAAAGTTGAGTGTTTACCGATTTAACGATCCCACGTTGTACAGTTTGCGGAGCGGCCATTTCTGCGTCTCAATCCCAGCTGAGAGGTTGTTGAAAAAGGCTGAAAAGAAGGAGTCAACGTGGGAAGTATCACGTGACCACAAACAAACTTTTCCTCCTGACGACTCGTACAACACTCGTGAAAAACCACCCACGACTAGAAGTCACGACTAGAGGCTGTGGTGTTGGTTAAGTCGGGAATTAGACGGACAAGTGGTTGGGAAAAGGTTGGGAAAAGTTGTCGAATACGATAAGCTTGGCGAAAACCACGTTTCCGGAAGTGGTTGGATCAGGTCAAAGGTTGGCACATTTCCACTTCCGGTTAGGTGGCAAGATATTTTATGAGATAAATAAAAAAATAAACAATTTGACTACATAAGTATGACGAAATTTGAACATAAATATGATATAGTTTAAAATTCATACGCTATTTTTTGTGAAGAAGATACAGAAATTAATATTTTGTCTTCGGTGACGAATTTCCTCTGGCTAAGCGCTAGGCATGACGGGATAAATAGTTTCGTTTCTAAGTTTCAAAGATGGCGGCAAGAGGTTGGTTTGAATTTTGTTTACCTCGAGAAAATGTTGATTTAGAGCTCTGTAGGTCTTGATTTTAACTTCTCGGGGATTCTTGTGAGTCGTAGTGTCTCTGGCACTGTATAGGGCTGGTTTTGTCGTGTTTAGATTGCAGTTTTCTGTGCTTATTTTCAAGAACTAGCCGGGGCAACACAAACACCTAAATTTTCCAAGCAGATGTTTAGGTGCCCAATAGATACTGCCTGGCCAATTTGATACTGTCTTTTGCGCCACCTAAACATCTACTTGGAGATTATATGATTTGTCCTAGTTTAATAAATACAGTCGTAATTCTTTTAAAACTGGTATAATCTGGTGTAGCCGTGGACGACTCTGTAACCCTTTTTGCATGATAATGCCGGGTTTTATCATGCAAAAAGGGTTACAGAGTCGTCCACGGCTAAATCTGGTGATGTCATTTAATTTGCTGGTGTGTATTTTAGTTTTTATTATGTTATAACTTACTATTTCTTTTCTCTTTCAGGACGACAAACCATAATTGTATCCTTTGATCTATTGCAAGAAATACATAAAACAGAGGACAATGCATGACGAGTTAGTGCTTCAAATATAACATTGTTACTGAACCTTGTTTTGTTCATAGATATTTCAAGAGATTTGGAATATATCTTCCAGAAAGTACTACCTTTAGTTTGTTTGTTTTTATATACAAATAGGTGATGATAAAAAAACTACACGTAAAACTACATGTAATACATCTTTCAAACAAATTTAGTACTAGTTGTTGGTTATAATTTCTGCTGCATTGTTAAGAATTTATTTGCCAAGGGTGATATCTGGTAGATGTAGATTATCAAAAAATGATGAAGTAATGATGATTCGTCTTGAATATAATATAATATCATGTATAGTACTGGACCTACAGTGCATGAAGGATCCTTGATTGTTTCCCAGCTGTCTTCCCTCCCACTCCAAGTCTTGTACTACCTGAATGGCTGGTACTTCGGCTTCTTCTGGATAGCAGAGGCCCTCATGTTTGTCTATAAAGGTAGGTTTGTGTGCTAGTATTGTTATTGTCTGTATGCTAGTACAATACATGTATTTGGTTTGGTTTTTCTTTTACTTTAATGCCCACAATCATGATAATGATCATTCTGGCATACTCATTAACACCTGAGTGAAGTGAGGAAAGTCATGTAATGTGCCTTTCCCAAGAGCACAAGGTTGGTGGCAAGGCAGGATTTGAACCTGGGATCTCTTGGTTCTGAGCCAAATGCTCTGCTGTTACGCTGCACGACCTTACTATGTATTGTTATTGTCTATATGCTAGTATTGTTGTTATCTGTTTGGCTAAGTATTGTTATTGAATGGTATCCTCTGTACAGTCAAATCTGCACAAGAAGACCACCCATTAGTATTTTGCCCTTTTGCTTGAAAGTATATATTTTTTAAGTTCTTACCCTTCTCCTTGCTGCCTAACCACGTAACTGATTTAGAGAATTGTTACCCAAATAATTATATAAGTGCATTGTACTTCAGTCAGGTTGATACATAAAATCACATGTACATGTATTTTTCAGGACAAGTGCTACCATTCCCTTCTACAAACCTGGCATCAGAGATTGTGCTTCTGTTTTTATTGGGGATCATAGAAGTCATAAGGTTGTTCTTTGGTGAGTTTGTACACTCTTTATGATGATTGTGTACATGTACTTTAATAGTGTACTAATGATGTAGTGTTGTGATGTAGTGTTATGGTGTAGTGTGTAGTACCTGAGCTATGATAACACTCAATCTGGATGTTCCTTACCAGAAGAAGTACTAGTATATCTCCATAATCTCCATGGTGGTACACATCCTGCTCTATCTGCCTGTGCTGTTCCCTGTGCTTTTCCTTTTCTCTCCCCACACAGTGTTCTAAAGGCAACCTTACAGAGCAGATCATAATGGTGTTCATCCTGCTGTGCCTGCCTGTGTTGTTCACTATGCTGTCCATTATGCTTTTAATACCCACTATGCTATTCCCTGTGCTGTTGATGTTCACTGCTATATTCTCCTTGCCCCCAGGTTCAAAAGGCAACCTAACGGAGCGTATCATCTCCATGGTGGTGTCCATCCTGCTGTGCCTGCCTGTGCTATTCACTATGCTATCCATTGTGCTGCTAATGTTCACTATGCTGGTCCCTGTGCTGTTGATGTTCATTATGCTACATTGTATATTCTCCTTGCCCCCAGGTTCAAAAGGCAACCTAACAGAGCGTATCATCTCCATGGTGGTGTCCATCCTACTGTGCCTGCCCGTGCTGTTCACTGTGCTGTTCTTCCTGCTGTGGCAGACCTACGTGCTGAGGGCAGAGGTCATCCTGTGTGCCATCCTGCTGGTGTTCCTGGGGCTGGAGCTCGTCCTGGGTGTGGCAGCTATGGTCAGCTTTGCCAGGTACTGTAAACTCATTGATTTTCACAGACCAAATGACACCAAAAAAAGTCTGTAAAGTACATACAAATATCGGAACTGTACATACAATATAGTCACTTGAAGTTTGTTGCAATCATGATGACTGAGAAATTGAGCTTGTACGGCCTTCTAAAAGTGACTTTTTGGAAACACTTCCCAATCACCCTCCTTGGGTATCTCTGTTTGCATCTCTATGTTTTATTTTTGCATTTCTGTGCGTGTTCCTGAACTGACATCACTGGATGACGTCAGCTCAGGAGAAAATACAGACATGCAAAAGTAAAATGTAGAAATTGCCTGCCAGGACTGGCTTGTGCTGACTTTTCCAAGGCAGGGCATTAGAATATCGAATGTAACACGAGAACCGTGCATATTTATTGTAAATGTGTCTGTTAGCCAGGTAATACTAGTTATGTCAATTACAATCAGCTAAAGTCATATTTTGGTGTCATGAGTACTTTAATTCACTGTAGAAAGGGAAAGGAGGCACAGTAGTCATACATGAGCATTTTAAATGCATACTGACAAAAAGTAGTGGTCTAGTGGATGATACTTAAAACTGGTGTTGTGTGTTAGCTGGTGTGTTAGGACGAAAGGCAGTTATACCGGCTATACAAATACAGATACAGAAAACATCAGTTTTCTAAGTACATGTATATTCAGTTGCTTGAATACCAGGGTAACTGTTTTCTTGTATGTAGACTAGTTATTGACTTATGTATGTGGAGGTATTCAACAGCCATTTTTGCTTTCTTGATATATGCCGTCCTTACGCGTGTCTTTTTTATCTCTTACTCAGGGCAGAGACATTTCGATGATGGACTCAGAGAGAAGACTTCCCCCTTTTATATCTGTACAAAGAAACTTGGCTTCATATTTGATTTTTGGACTTGGTACATCATTCATAGATACTGCATATGTTATTCTATTTTGAGGTCAATGATATTTTGTTGTTTGTATATATCCCCAAGTGACCTTATATTATGCCAAGAAAAGTTTGTAAATAAGTAAGTTTTGTAAATAGTTGGTTGTCAATACAACACTGAAAATACTATTCATGTTACTTTTTTTAATTTTATTTTGAAGTGAAGTTAGTCTTAGCCTTCATTTTCTTATTTCATACTGATTGGTTGGAAAGAAAATTAACAAAGCTGTAATATTAATAAAGTGCTGAAGGAAAAAACGTGTGATAATGTATACCTGTCCCACATTGTCTGTTGAAGAATTGCCTAGAACTTCTGTCACATGAACAGAGCACATATGACTAATACTAATAGCATATAGTAACTATTACATGTACACGTACTTGAAAGTCAGACTTGAGTTGTAGTAATGTTACACAACATTTTCACAACAAATCTACAGACTATTAGGGAAGCTCAGGGAATTCTTTTTCCCGGTTTTAAACTCAAGATTGAAAATTCATCAAATCTTGCTGGATGTTCCCAAGTTGAGTCACCTGGGGTCAACAGATTTCCAGTCCTGCTTACCCACATAATGTACATGTAAGTTATATATATTATTTACATCTCAACTGACAGTTATATTGCACTCATCATATCTCCAACATTGAGTGTTACTTTAAATATATTTAATCATTTGAATTGTGGACTGGAGTAGAGATGAATTCAGAAATTCTTCATAGTTTTAAAATCAATTCGTTAACACAGTGTCTTAATCATGAGAATACTGTTTACATTCCTTTTCTCTTTAACAGTATTGTTAAGGTCTATCCTGATGTGCTATTTACAACAAAGGTGAGGTAGTAATGTTATATGTTCAACATGATATTGTGTACCAGATACCACAGTGGTACAGATTTAGCATCTAGATGTAACTTACGAAAGTAAATGCTATTTCTGATGACTTGTACTGTAAATTTACTGCAAAACTAAAGCAGCTTTCATTATTGAAATACAGTTAATAGGAGCTTTGTCCTGTATATGGTCTTTTAGTCCTTTTACTTTACAGTCTTGTACTGTAAAGTTGTCATCAGCCCCCTGTTTTGTTACAGATTAGCCAGCTCCTTAGTAATGTCCTCCTGTTGCTGTTTGTTTCCTGTCTCCATGGCGATGGTCATTGCTGATTGATAGTGAGATCTGGCCAGGTCCAGTTTACCCAGTGCCATGTAGGAAACAGCTATGTTTTTATGTACTGTTATCTGTCCAGTCTTGTCTCCACTTTCTTGTCTCATCTTCAGGTCCTTCTTGTCCCACTCCAGACTTTCCTCATGCTCCCCAATGTCATAATGGGCCAGTCCAAGTCTGTTGTAAGCATCTCCCTCCCTGTCCTTCCTCCCCAAGTCCCTGGCTAGTGCCAACATCTCTGTGTAGTACTTGTGTGATTCCTGTGGTTTTAGCTGTTTCCTGAGTAAATCACCCAGCCTACAGTAAATGTCCATCTGTTCAGTCTTGTTTCCTGTCTCCATGGCGATGGTCATTGCTGATTGATAGTGAGATCTTGCCAGGTCCAGTTTACCCTGTACCTTGTAGTTAACAGCTATATTTCTAATGTGCTGTTATCTGTCCAGTCTTGTCTCCAGTTTCTTGTCTCATCTTCAGGTCCTTCTTGTGCCACTCCAAACTGTCCTCATGCTCCCCCATGTCATAATGGGCCAGTCCAAGTCTGTTGTAAGCATTTCTCTCCCTGTCCTTCCTCCCCAAGTCTCTGGCTAGTGCCAACATCTCTGTGTAGTACTTGTGTGATTCCTGTGGTTCATGTAGCTGTTCCCTGTGTAAATCACCCAGCTCACAGTAAATGTCCATCTGTTCAGTCTTGTTTCCTGTCTCCATGGCGATGGTCATTGCTGATTGATAGTGAGATCTTGCCAGGTCCAGTTTACCCAGTGCCTTGTAGGAACCAGCTATGTTTCTATGTGCTGTTATCTGTCCAGTCTTGTCTCCACTTTCTTGGCTCATCTTTAGGTCCTTCTTGCTCCACTCCAAACTTTCCTCATACTCCCCCATGTCATAATGGGCGTGTCCAAGTCTGTTGTAAGCCTGACTCTCCCTGTCCTTCCTCCCCAAGTCCCTGGCTAGTGCCAACATCTCTGTGTAGTACTTGTGTGATTCCTGTGGTTCATGTAGCTGTTCCCTGTGTAAATCACCCAGCTTACAGTAAATGCCCATCTGTTCAGTCTTGTTTCTTGTCTCCATGGCGATGGTCATTGCTGACTGATAGTGAGATCTGGCCAGGTCCAATTTACCCAGTGCCTTGTAGGAATCAGCCATGTTTTAATGTGTTGTTATCTGTCCAGTCTTGTCTCCACTTTCTTGTCTCATCTTCAGGTCCCTCTTGTCCCACTCCAAACTGTCCTCATGCTCCCCCATGTCATAATGGGCCAGTCCAAGTCTGTTGTAAGCCTGACTCTCCTCTTCCTTCCTCCCCAAGTCCCTGGCTAGTGCCAACATCTCTGTGTAGTACTTGTGTGATTCCTGTGGTTCATGTAGCTGTTCCCTGTGTAAATCACCCAGCTTACAGTAAATGTCCATCTGTTCAGTCTTGTTTCCTGTCTCCATGGCGATGGTCATTGCTGATTGATAGTGAGATCTTGCCAGGTCCAGTTTACCCTGTACCTTGTAGTTAACAGCTATATTTCTAATGTGCTGTTATCT